ATATAATTTAATTTAAGTTTAATAATAAAACAATTTATTTTTGGTTTAATATTATAAATTTTATAAAGATAATAATTAAGTATTCTGTTAGAATTTAACGATTATATAAATTATATTTTAGATTTTTTATATTTAAAATTAGATGTTTATCTTGTATTTGATTGTGTTTACCTGCAGTTAGTTACACGAATTCAGATATGGGATGAAATCGGATAAGAATGAACGGGTTTAAGAGTTTTTAAGAGTTTTAAGAGTTTTTAAGAGTTTTAGCCAAATGCTTTATAAGATAGTATATATATATATATATACATATATATATATATATATTGATAGGATTTAGTTGAGTTTAATTACATTATTAGTCGTTAAAGTGATTTAGTTTCGTTTTGCCATCAAGTTATCAGTTAGGATTAATAGTAAGTTTGGGTGCTTGTTTAGGGCATATATAAAGGAATAAATTTGGGGAATCGATAAGTTTTGTGAAGTTTAAGGTACGGGTTCTTAATTCTATTCATTCATTTGATTCGTATACATTTGTTTACGAGCCCTTAAGCTTTCTTTCAACTCGGATTGATTGACTCACGATTATTGATATCATTTTTGTACCGCATTTTCATTCACTTGCAATTGTTCTATGTCATACATATCGTAAGAAAGCCACTTTCTAATCATGTTATTTAAGTGGGTCGATGTTGGTACAAGTATGTGTTTTCTCCAAAATAATACGTTTATTTGTTTGGTAACATTTTGGTATGATTTTTACCTCTAAAAGTACATATGTTGGTACATTTGATCGATTATGTATTTTTCGAATTGATCCACTCCTTACTTGACTTATGTTTGACTTTTCGTTTGACATCGTCATTTATTGCCATATGTAAGACGTATAACGTCACATTCGTTGTGACAACTCAACTCTGGGTAACTCGAGCTACTAACCACCTATGGGGGTACCATAGGCACGTCATTGTGGCATCGATGGCGTGACACTAACCGTGGCAGTGTGATCAGTCCACGACGTCTCCTCTTTTGGTGCTCTGAGCTATTTTGGTGTGATGGATATTCGATTTAGGAGGCGTATGGGTCGGCCCTAGCACCTGTGATTCTTTTGTAGGGTGGATGTCGTTGTAGTGTCCAACGCCACATCTCACATTTGGTACGTGTGGATCTGCAGTCCAACGTACAGGCTTGTGTGGCCATATGTCTGACACTTGTCCTATTAGTTAATATGCAAGTGTATGCGTTTTCGAGCTCGATTTGTCCCTTCATATGATTTCGTATGATTATGTTATTTGTTGATTTTCTAAGATTTTGGTACTCGTTGGGTTTGATGTCTTGAGATAATTTTGGCATGTTTGTATTACCATTTTTCTATATTTGTTTATCCGTTCACTGGGCATTTGGCTCAGCTGTGTTTTCTTCTATTCCTCACGGCAGGTAATCAAGGGGATGCTAGGTTTTGTGACAGAGAGTAGGGCTGTGCAAAAACCCGCCCAACCCGAACTACCCGAATTACCCGACCGAATTGACCCGATCCGAACCGACAAAAATAGACCCGAATTGACCCGATATCCGAATCCGACATATATATCGGGTATAGGGGATCGGGTAGGGTCTCATAACCCACCACCCGAACCCGCCCGAAACCCGATTCAATGAAAAGCCTTAGCGTAAAGTAAATTAGGGTTGTGCTTAGATTAGGGCTTAGTGAATCCTCATAGTCCCGACCGATTTTCCCAAACCCGATTCTGCTGCACGCCTGCACCCGACGGTCGACGCTGCTGCACGCCTGCTGCCTGCACCCGACGCTACTCTCCGACGACCGACTCCGACTCTGCTGGCCGGCGACCGACTCCGACGCTGCTGCCTGCACCCGACGCTGCTCGTTCTACACAATACACACTACATAGGTTTAATTCCTTGATTTATATGTGTCAATGCCTTCAGCTTCTATGTCATTTATATGTGTCACGATATCGCTCCCTCTCTTGCTTGATTTACAGGTTTAATTCCTTGATTTATATGTGTGTTTCCTTGATTTATATGTGTGTGTATATATAATTTAACTTTATCGCTCCCTCTCTTGCTTATGGAAATCTTCAAAATTTTCAAGACTTCCCAGAACTTCTTCACAAGTCAGGGTCTGTTTTAGATTGTTTACAATTTCACTCATGGCGTTGGAGTTTTTGTTTACAAGTCAGGGTCTGTTTTAGATTGTTTACAACAAGTATTATCACTAGTTCTGGGTTTTCCGTGAATATGTAGTTTTTGTTCATGACCATCYAAAATCAACCAAAAGGATAACATAACTAATGTACATGAACTTAACCAAGAGAAGAACATGAGATAATTCAATATACATGAACTTGTGACAGGAGCAACATGCCAATGAAAATCACCAGCTATAATGTAAACAATCTGTTCAACATGAACTTGTCAACATAATCTGTCAACATAATCTGTTCACTTGTGAACATAATTCTGTTCACTTGTGAGATATGTGCTCCTATAACACTAAACAATGAAAATCACCAGCTTATGATTTGAATTCGAACATGAACAAGTTTATGCTTAAGCTTCTTCGATAGGCTAGGAAAAATGACAAGCAATATAYGAATTACCGAAGATATCAGTGACAGAAATTGGCATACCTTTGCCTTCTAGCATATTGATATATTTTTAGATTGTTTACAATTGTAGATGGAAAAAATTAGCACGTCTCAGTCCGGAAGTAACAGTCATCATCAAGCTCCTCCTTCACAATCTAATCCTACCGTAAGTCAATCTATTCCGGAAAGTACTAGAAAAAGGAAAACATTAGAATCCAGATCTCAAGTTTGGGACCATTTTGAGAA